GTTTACAGTGGCAGGAACCCCTAAACCACCCATCAACTACACTACTGGCTTGGCTGGGAATGTGAAGACTTTATATTTGGACTTATATAGGCTTTTGTCTTTATTCCTTTTCTCTCAGTGAATGTGCTGGAGGAGTTGGAAGAGAAACACAAGGCTGTTTAGTCTGAGTGCGTGAGCCAGAGTAGTCAGCTGTAGCTCTGCCCAGTACAGTAGCACCCGCTGAATGTCTTTATTTGGCATCTGTTTCCCTCCATTTAGAGTTGATTTCAGATGCGTTTCGCCTACTCTGTCTGCTTCACATATTGAAGTTTGACACAGAGACTGCAATACAACTGGCTGCCTAATGTTTCAGGATTTTATTGACAGAACAGTGAAAAGGTTCCCCCATTTACATTTTTTTTTTTATTAATCTCTTATGGATCCAATCTAATGCTGTCCATTTCATAATATTGGTGATGGAATGCATGCCGTGCCCTCTTGTGTTAATGGCTGCATCAGTAATGGATCCACACTGTATTGCTGCTAAGAGCTGACTGAATAATCTGCCCCTGCTGTGGCTGGAAAGACTGAGCCAGCTGTTTAATGATGTCAGCGTGCTGGAGGGGAAACGAACACACACACACACACACACACACACACACACACACACACACACACACACACACACACACACACACACACACACACACACACACCCCCCTTACCCCCAGCTGTAAGTTGTCAGTTCCTGTTATCTATACAATAAACACACACACACACACAAACTGCTCTTTTAGCTGGCATGCTGATGAGCGTCGCCTGCGTCTCTTGGCTGCCTGTCACCAGTCTGCCACCCATGAGCACCAATCAGATGTGATTGGCCTGACTGACAGGGCTCTCTTCATCACACTGACAGTTAACCCTGCTGTGTGTTCACAGAGATGTTGGTGAAATGCCTCGAGAAATGTGTTGTCTTCCGTCTGTCTCGTGTTCCTTTAATCTCTTATTTACCTTTTGCCTTGCCTATTCTGTACGGCTCCACTTTGTCCATCTGTCTGCTCCAATGTTTTTCTTTTTTTCTTGCTTTCAAGCTGCATCATAGTGAACGCTTTCACTGATCATAGCCCAGTAATCTCTGTTGTTAATGTGTCTCATCCGCTGTCTGTGTGTATCTACGAGTATCACTTATCCAGTCCTCCTGCTGTGTCAGCAGTTGACGCATTTCCCCCACATACAAAAACAAAGTTATCTTGCACACCGACAATAGTCACTGTTGATACAATGGTTGATAGTGTATCATTCAATAACCTTTATGGATAAACAGAATGTGGCTGAACTGACTTCGACCTTTCATTGTTGTAGCAGGCCAAATCTGTTCTGTTTTTCTCTTTCCGTTCAGTGAAGTGTTTTATAAGTATTTACAGTACAGCATTGCCAATAATGTACTTTATTAAGTCGATATTTGAATATATTTGAAATTAACATTACATTAGCAATGTTAGAATGTATCTATCAAGGTTTGTTAGTGAAGATAGGTCCAGTGTAGGACATTTAGCTGTTGAACATTAATCATACTTATTTACAAAAAGCAATTGGTAGCTGTGGCATCATGTAGGGTTGTCATCCACCTATCCGACCGGTTGGTAGTTTTAAGTAATACAAATATAGCAGAAAGAAACCAGCAAACGTGTCATCTGAATTTACTGCAGTACAGTTTATTTTTTTGCATTTCAGATCCCTCTGATAAGGACTTTAACCGCGATAATCCAGTATCGAATGATAATGTCAGTTCTGTAAATAAAGTCAATCCCTGACCTATAGCTGTGTGATGCATTAGTGACGGTAACATATAACTCTCCTTGTCATATTATTGCTAGTATTTGGGATATGTTTTGGTCCTAGCAATAACCAGTCATTCTCCACAGGGAGATCAAAGGTCAGGGTCAGCTGCAGAACATTTCTCCTGGAGCTGTAGGAGATTCATTGCCTTGCTCAAGGACGCTTCACCAGGGCAAGCTCCCGCTCTCACAGGGCCTTGGATGTAGTTATTCCTAGCTCACTAGGCCACCTCTCCGCCCTTGTTTGGGTAGTCTGTTTTGCAGTTTTCAGTGTGTTTAACGCGGTGTGTTTTGTCTCTGCCAGACCCTGTACCTGTGCTGGAGCTGGCTCAGCAGCTGCAGCTGAAGCTCCAGAGGATGCATGACATTGAGACAGAGAACACCAAACTTCGAGAGACACTGGAGGACTACAACAAAGAGTTTGCAGAGGTTAAAAACCAAGGTAAGGGACAGGACACATGCAGAGCCACACATTTGGGGATTTTACTGACTCTGAGAGGGGCATGGATGTAGGGCAAACAATTAATCATAGACGAGCACATATCACCATTCCTTATTTCCCTATTTGTGTAGTTTGGCAGGTTTTTAATATTCTCTTCTCTTGTATTCTGCGTTTGCTTTACCATTATGGCCAGTGAAAGTGCAGAGTACACTTGTGTGACCAAAACCAAACTAAGATGGTGTAGCAGGCTGCTTCAGTGAGGAGGCAAAACATCCTTTTGGCTAGGAAAGGCACATTTACACTGATTAATAGATGGGAAGAAAAATATACAGACGAGAAATGAAGGTGAAAAGACGGGATCTGTCCTAAAAATTGAACATATTGTTTTAGGTCGTCAGTGTATTGTAGTTGGAAATATAAGAAACAAAAAGATGAAATAAAATAAAAATGTTTTAATCAGTTTGGCAATTGACCACCAGAAAATTAAATATTTGTTATGACATTCAAACTGCTGCTACTCTGAGAACACTCTCAAAAGTAAATAATGATGAAAATGTTCACATGCAAGATAACAGTAACAATGTGTTTGTTATGCTTGAAGGTAACCTCACCATTCCCACCAGGAATGGGATTTTTCTTGATTCCTCTAGATTGAAGACAAATATATATATTTTGGCTTAAGTAACCTTAAAAAAATGGCTGTCAGACGGAAATGTAGAGGGGTGAAAAATATTCTAAATAGATTTAATTGTTTACAGTAATAACTTAAGTAAACTTGTTTTTTTAGTAATGTGAAGTTTTATAGGTGGCTCAAACTGGTTTTGCTGCTGCCAACATCACAGCTTCGCTATTGTTTTGGTACAAATGCCTGCTGGGGTGTGCGTCATACACTGAGTATGAGCAATTACGTCATACAACCCTACTTTAAGAATTTGGAACTATCCCTTTTATTATTGAGCTCTAAGTGTGGTGCTACAGAGGTTTAATAATTGCTTCTTGCAAGTTTCTCCACTCAAAAAAACAAAACTCGATATAATATACGAGTGTGGTATCTGATCAGGGCATAGGGCTTTTTGTTTGTGGCGTGGGAGGATACGGACACTCCGTATATTTTCTTGCTTATTTGGACCTTTGCCAATCACATTTCTGCATTATGTTTGCATGTTAATGAACTGAAATATAAGGTCATGGAAACATATTTAGCCCTTTTTCAAAGATCAAGGGCAAATTTGAACATATTCGAATGCCTTATAAATGTTTCAAACACACAAAATGTACAAGGTTTTACATTTTCAAATAGGTTTCAGGGGGAAAGGAACACGAGGCACAGTTTCATGAATAAAAAACGACAGGCTACCTCGGGGTAAAGAAAGACGGAAAAACTGACAGAGGCAAGAGATGAGTGAGAAGCAGCAATAAAAGTGGTATAATTTTGGTCGAAAAGGAGGAGTGAGCGAGCGAGCAGGCAGTGTTTTGGAATCCCCCTTTCCTCAGCGAGAGTTAATTGGAACAGCTCGATAGCGGCAGGGTTCCATTTTGCCATTGATTTTCCTGTTCCCTCATCCTTTATCCCTCCTTCCCGCCTCAATAGATGGGGGATATTAAAACCCCAAAACACACTGTGGAACTCCCACTCCTGTTAAACGCACACGCAGACCTGCTCGCACACACAGCACACACACACACAGAGTGCAGGGGCCATTGATCCCCGCAACCTAAATGTTTAAAGTTCAGTTAAGCAGTTAAGGGGTAAGAGGGCTCTGAGGGGACTCTCCTCTATTGATTATGTGTCAGAGCAGTGAGACTGGAGTTTAAATCACACACACACACACACACAAACGCACACACACACACACAAAGTGCTAAGAGCCCTCAGTCAAAGGCAGCAAGCAGCAATGCTCTTTATCATTGTCTCACTCACTTATATCTTTCTCTGTGAAACACACACACACACACACACACACACACACACACACACACACACACACACACACACACACACACACACACACACACACACACACGCACACACACACACACACACGTGCACACACACACACACGTGCACACACACACACACGTGCACACACACACACACGTGCACACACATGTACACACACAGAGGCCTATTTATTACCCCAGTTATGTGTTAGATTTATTTCAGGCTGCCCCATACAGACCTCAAGCCGTCAGCAAGTTATGGGGTTTCAGCACTAATGCAGTCCTAATGAATACAGCATATCTGCTGCTGGTGATCGGTGAATATCCTATACCAGTCATGGGTGTAAAGATTAGGCCGGAGCCATAGGGGCCATAGGCCTTAGACTGCGCTGACAGAGGAAGAATGTGGGATATGAAAAGCTGTTCCTTAAGCAAAGGTCAAACCCCCCCTGTCAGAGGGATTATCGTCATCACTGCCATTTATCACATCTAAGAAACAGCTATAGTCTGGTGTCTATATATTTAGCAAATTGTCTGTTTTTTTACTTTTCCTCTATACGTTCTGCTTCACCATCTCCAGAGGTGACCATTAAGGCCTTGAAGGAGAAGATCCGTGAGTACGAGCAGTCTCTGAAGAATCAAGCCGAGAACCTGGCCCAAGAGAAGCAGCTCCAGCTACACAACGACTATGCAGAGAAGGAGAGGTAAAACTCTCTCTCTCTCTCTGTGTGTGTGTGTGGGTGTGGGTGTGTGTGTGTGGGTGTGTGGGTGTGGGTGTGTGGGGGTGGGTGTGTGGGGGTGGGTGTGTCAGCAGTGGTGTTTCAAGTAATAACCTCTGCATTCTTTTTCATTTAAAACCTTTGGGTCATTGTGCCCTTTGAACAGATCTGCTATGATTCCAATCTTTGAAGGATTTAAGAATTCTGGCTTTTTTTCATTTTATGCAGAGCTATTCATGACTTAATGACTTTTTCTCAGCTAATAGTTCTTGGACTTGTTCCTCATAGTTATCAGTTCAATCAAGAAATTGCTGCTTGTTGGCATTGCCTTCCTTTAAAACATGAATACAGGGATGAAAAGACTGAAAAGACGAAGCCAGCATTTTTGTCATGTGGGTGCTTGCCATTGTTGTCTTGATGGGAATCAACACCTCAGACTCCTATTTTCTGTTTTTACCACATTATTTCCAGCCTTTTTGTTCAGAATAATTGCTACCACAAACCTCTATTGTCTCTGAAAATATACACCACTGAATGAAACCCACTAAATGACTATGTAATGATAGAAAATATGCTTAGGTGTCATTTAATTTTAATCTAAAGTAATTTATTCTGATTTAATAGGTTACTTCCTTTCCAACCCCATTTTCCTGGCATTTTGGAGTCTGTTTTTTTCAGATGCACGGGAAGCCTGTGGCAATAATAAATAAGCTCTCAATTACTGCCAGATAATAAAAAAAACATGAAAAAACTGAGTACGGGAATGCTGTATTAACTCTTTGAAAGGCTAGACAGAGTCACAGGCAGGCAGCATCATAATGTTGCTTCACTTATAAACTCAAACGTATTGCTCAATGAATTGATAATATTATGCTGGCCAGGTCAAACTGAAAACACGAGGTTCAGTTTTTCAAATGCAGGTGGAGAATTGACATGTCAACCTTAAATGAAGTTATCTCTGATAGCAGTGATGCTCCTATTTGGAAGTAAAGGGATATATAAACGTGTGCAGAGTCGAAGAGAAATGAGCACTCGTACGATTAGCTGGAGCAGCCTCTGGGCTTAAAGAGACGGCACATCTTCACTGAGGGTGAGCAGGAGTTAAAGGTGGTGATGGATGCATTAAAGCTGAACATGTTTCTAAACTAGGAAATGAAACACTGCCAAAATCAAGAAATCAATAGAAAAGTCAATATGGTGGGTCATAGAGCTCAACAACACATGGTACTGTTCAGTGTTGCTCACGCGCGGATATAATAATAATAATATGTTAAGTGTTGTGATACTGGCTGATGGGGAACGATTTCTGAATGACTGCAAACAGAACAGGGTAGTAGAATGCTCTGTCTTTTCAAAGGAAAACAAGTAAAGAGGAATATACTTTCCAATTTGTTTCCATTACTTTATTTGTTTGAACAGGAAAATACTTTGTTCTGTGCTGTTTGATCATTTAGCTGCATTTTGGATAACACTTGCAATCCCTTTTTAACAATCTTTACCTGCATATGGGTTATCCAAAAAGTTTGTCATTGTGTGAAAGTTTTCCACAAGACAAAAGATCACTAGTTTGGATTACTTTCAGTTGCATCATATTCTCATTTAACATTTCGAGGCATTGCCAACAAATGCTACAGAGTTTTTTTTCTTCCACACTCCCTACAGTCATTAAAACACTTCACAAGAAACTTTCTCAGTGATCCTTTTTAAAAAGTCTCTGGCCCACTTGCTGTGTGTTTATTAAATGTTCAGTACAGAGCTCATATTTCTCCTCGTGTCAATCATCATGTTTGCCGTGAAGCCGTGTTAAAGCTCACTGCTCCTTTCAGACGTGCAGCAGAAGATCAATTGTCCAACTGTATTTCCTTTACGTCAGTGTTTTATAGGCCTCTTCCTGTCTGCAGAGAGCTGACTTCCTGTGTCTGAGAGGGGCAGTAAATGGATGGCACCTCTGATGCATTTTATCCTGCAAGGAGTGAGGGAAGGAGGGAGAGGGAGAGATGAAAGGATGAAGGAGAGGGCTGAAAAATAGAGATGACAGGAGAGACAGATTGGCGGAGAAGGGGGGCATCAAAGAGTGCCATAAAGACTGTCTTTGTGCTAGATTATTGATGTTTTTACACGCAGTGGCAATTTCTCAGCAGAGCCCAACTTTTTATATGCTAAGAATGAATCTATTTTATCCTTGTGGTTTCTGACACCCCCTTCCCCCTCTCTTACTAAACCCTTGCTCTCCCTCACTCTCCCCCTGGGTGCAGTGTGCCCCAGTGGCCAGACATTCCTCCCTAATAGGGCTGCTTAATGAGGAGTGGGTTGTGTTGGGAGGATTTTAGTGGGGAAAACACTTCAGAAATGGTGGGAAAATAGAGAATAGTTGCAGTTACCGCAAAGTGTGAAAGCAAGATGTACTGATACAGTACCTCTATCTGTGACTTCTTTGTCCAAACTCTTATTTTCTCACCTTCTGTCTGCCTCTGTAGGAAACTCCAGGAGAGCCAGGACTCCATGTCCTCACGGTTGGAGGAGTCCGAGCACAAGGCCCAGTCCCTACAGACAGGTACCAGCCTTACACAGACCTGAGAACTGTTTTAGCCCGCTCAATTAAAATGGTCACCTTATCACTTAATATTAGGTGGAGCTGGCTTTAAAGACTTGCTTTCAACTCTTAGGTATTTTTCACGGAATGTACATGTTTGAAAAGGTTTTGAAGTTAAACACTTAATCTGCTTCATCTGAACCAGGTGGGTGTGGTTTGATCAGATTGACAGTGGCCTAGCAACATGGGCAAATAACACCTTGACGCCAGGACAAAAGCACAAGCTGTACAGAAATCTAAGGAAAAATATAAAGTTAAAAAAAGTGAGGTGAAAAAAAAATGAATCTGAAGAAGATCTTTTTTCTTTTGACAAAAAAGTCTAAATCTAAATTTTAAGAATAAAGTTGATATACCATTTAATAAACCTCAAACTACCAGGGGTATCATATATATTGTACGTTTTTATTTTAAATAACCATAATCTTTATTTACAGAATGCCTAGAAGGAAGCAGTTTTAGAAAATATGTTTTCAGGGTCTTTGAAAAGTATTGTTTCTACTTGGTTATATATTATTTATTTGAAAGTCGACGATTGAAATTCACAACCGACTCTTTTTCCGTCTTTTGCAGCACTTGAAACAACTCAGGCCGAGCTCTTTGATTTGAAGACCAAGTATGACGAGGAATCCACAGCAAAGTACGTGTCCTGGTGATATATGCGTGTGTTTTGCTGGTGACTTCTCCCCTCTGGCTCCTCCATATTCTGTTCCTGACATAATCATCCTGTTTAGTGGATCTCCGTCCCTGGAAACTCCCCCTTCTCTCCCCAACAGCTGGATTGTCTCCCACAACGCTCGGCAAAATCCAAATCCCAGCATTACCCAACGCACTGTAAATACTGACTGGGATTGTAATGCGTTCTGCAGCCACAGCAGCACCGAAATAGGGATTTTCTGTGTGTGGTGATTCATCAGGGTCCTGAGGAGGAGGAGAAGCTGACGAGGGTCGCTTTGAGATCTCTGACTAAAAGCCACGCAGGCTTCTAACAAGACCTTTAAGATAAGGTGGCTTCAATTACGTGAGCTGTAGGCATCTATCATTATCGATCTTATAGTAGTGGCGAGGACGAGAACAGAAGCTTTTCCATGTCAGCACTCCTCACTGTGAAGTGGCACTTTATGACATTCACACTCTTTGTTCCCTCTGGGTTAGTAGCGAGAACCAGAGCCACTCGAGCCCCCAAATCAGCATTCAGAAAGTTAAAATACTGACAAAAAAATGAAGCCTTTTATGGTGTTTTATTGGTAATTGGTGTAAAGGACAGATCCCTGTTTCCTTAAAGCATCAACTCTTTTTTTTATATCATTTATACTATTTATAGAAATGTTCCGTGCGTGCGCCCTGCCTACAGAGAACTACAACTATCAACTTAGCTTTTAAGGTTTTCCCCCCCCTCTCCATTTACCCTTCCCCAAACTCACTGTGTGTCTCTCCATTAACAGAGCTGTTAAATTGATTGGCTGTTAAAAACAGATCGATCCCTCTCCTCTCGTCCTCAGGATACTTTCCCCCCTCGTTTCTAGCACACTGTCTTTTTTTCCCCTGCACTGCGAGTGTAAGAGGAAAGGCGACCAGAAGATATTGCATGCAGTATAATGGCACTAATCAATAGGCTCATAGTTTATCATAGAAGCCCCCCCCCCCCCTCTTTATTTTTATTTTTTCATGACTATATATCCTCTACTTTATCTCATTTCTTTACACTTTCTTATTCGCTTTTGCGTCCTTGTCTGTTCCTTTCATGTCAGAAGAAACGCATTTTGAAAAGACATATATAGAAGTTCTCATTTGCTTACAGAAGCTAATAAACACATGCCAGTCCACACACACACACATCCTCATACAAATACACACACTCACTCACTCACTCACTCGTGAGCCTGAGGCAGTCAGGGTCCTTGACTATGTGGCGTGCTGTGATCTGAAATTTTAATGCAACGCTTTAAAGCACACACAAACCCTCTCTAACCCTGCACCCTCCCAGTCCTTGGAGTCCTTCCCCCGTTTACTGCTTGGCTGAGCAAATCGCCAGTGTTTGGCTGAACACAACTTTTAACCCTTCGACTGCATATATTTTGGCCCTGCAAAACACAAACTCCATACATATCATGCACTTTTTCCACACATACACACACACTTCTGCTCTAAACTTTCCACTAAGGAGGACATTGCGTGACAAATCCCCCATCCTCCTGCTGCATTCGGGTAATCTGCCTTTTAAAATACACTTACACACACTCAGACACGGACGTACACACACTCAGAGAGAATTTGGTCGATGTTGCAGTGCCCGGAGTGTGTGAGCGGCAGCGGGAGGCGGGCCTGCAGATGTAGCGTCGACCCCTGTGTGTGTTGGCGCTGTGAGGGTCTGGCTGGCCGCATTTTACCCGTTTAGTCCCTGTTAAAGATTAATGATATATTGATCCCCAGCCCCACAGGATTCTCTGTGTGCGTGTGTGTGTGCATGCTCCTCTATAAGCTTGTGTTGCTTTATCTGTGTCTAAAAGGACTGATAACATTTTGGGGAAAAACATTACATTTCTGATAATTAAGAAAGAAAAGCCTTTTGACTGTTGCCTGTGTCCCTCTCAACCACAAACAAACACAAAATGGCGCACAACATGCACAGACACACTCTCACAGCTAGCTTCTTTTTAAGCCTCCTTGAAATCCCCAAGGTAACACGCTGTGAAAACGCAATGTGGAGAAAGCTAAGGAAAGAAAAGGAATGGAGTGATGAAAGCTAGAGGGCAAGAAGCGAGTCAGAGACTGGAGGCTCCAGCAAGGAAGAGGGGATAAGAGTGTGATAGAGGAGGGAAATGAAAATCTAAATCAGGGGAATATCCTGCTGGCACTGAGGACAGAGGCCGAGGAAGAGAGGGCGAGAGATGACAGAGGGGAGGTGGAAAGGGGGGAAAAAGATGAAAGGAGGAAAAGTGGAGGGGAAAGGAACGGGTTGAGGGAGGCAGGCAGAGGGTGAAGAGAAAAGGAGCGGTTGAGTGAGGAGCAAGCGAGAGAAGATGATAAGAGATGAAAAGGCCTGTCTGCGATAGAGGAAGTACAGTAGGGGCTTAGAGGCTCTGGGCTTGTTTCTGAAGTCCTACAGTGCTCACTGATGTCACTTGTGCAGCCATTGGCTTTCATGGTACAAAAGCGTGTGTGTTGTTTGTCTATGTGATTTTCCAGTGCAGCTGTGCGTCTGCTCTATAGCTCCTCCCTGTGGCTGCTATATTAAGCCGTGTAGGTGTGTTTTAGTGGGTTTAAATCCGATTTTTACCATTAATAAGGACACTCCCTTTACTGTTTAGTGTTTGAATTAATTCCAGCATCAGCTGGCCAAGGACAGTTCCTGCCCTGCGCAGCGACTGACTGACTGTATCAGGATATGGAGAAAATCCCTTCCCTGTGATCTGCTTTGGCCCTCAGCCTCTAGCTTTGCCTTTTTATAATTCCCAAATACAGCCAAATCCAAAGGTTATTTAAGAAGACTTTGTGCATCTGTACTTTGATTAAATGATCACATTTGGAGTAGGAGCGGTGGTGTATTTGGGTTGCATTACTACCCATAAACGCTCTCCATTACAAGCTTTTCTGGCTTGTTGGCTCTCTGACCCTACATTTGTGTGTGCGTGAGTGCGCACGTGGGTCCGCACACTATAGCTTAAGACAGGATAAAAGCCGCCGAGGTAGTGTACTATTATGTTGCTTAAATGCATACTAGATCCTTTTAACTGTAAGGCAAAGACTAAAAGCGTAGAGTGAAAAGCTCTCCCACCCACATCTGATTCTTTTTGCTGCATTGCCTGTGGCACAATGTTGACCTAATATCAACTGTGTCTGTTTTGTTAAACACATTCAAATCAGTAGTACTCAAGCCTATGGGACATAACGCTGTTTCTCATACTGTGACACACAAATACAAAAGCTGCGTGGGTTATTGGGTTCACTATCAAAAGATTGCAGGGAAATCAAAAGGTCTTAATGGACATGGCTCACATCTTTGAACTCAATGCCACTCTTGTGTTCTTATCAACATATAATGTGTTGAATAAAATCTCATGCACACACTGTGTCTTTGCACGGCATTCAAGACAAACATGTTCATGCATTTTGTTGTTGTAACCTTATACGGCAAAATGTATTCAACATTTATCCTGGAACGCACGCTGACTCACAACTCATTAACAGAGAGGGTCATCTTATTGTTTAACCATGGTGCATACCTATACTTTTTGCAAGTCTTGAAGACTTTCAAAGTTTCATTCATTGTTAAGTGACAGGGTTTCACGTCACTCAGGAAAGAGGGTTATACTTTTTTTTTCTCAAGTTCAGTGGTATTATGGGGATGTATTCTTGCTGTGTGACCTCTAGCAAGTGAGAGGTGAACCATGGCCCCCATCCAGACCATTAGTCAGACACAATCACACAGCTTCATAGCAGATTAGTCGGCTGTATTAGGACTTAGAGCTCTATTAATGTAATCCCTCTGTTTTAGTGTAGCCTGGGTTTAGGGGCTTACACACACACACACACACACACACACACACACACACACACACACACACACACACACACACACACACACACACACACACACACACACACACACACACACACCGATGCATGCACACACACACACACACACACACACACACACACACACACACACACACACACACACACACACACACACACACACACACACACCGATGCATGCACACATACAAGCTGTTTGGGTTATGGAGTTCACAATCGATGGATTAAGGTGAAATGTAGACAGTAGCTTAATGGACACGGCATCAACCTCCTAAATGAGTTCTCTCTAAACAATCGCACTCACACGTGATGTGAGCAGAGTGTACTTCCTGGGATTCATCTGTCCATTCTTTCATATTTGTTTTGTATTTGTTACAAGCGCTGTCACTTCCTGTGTTTTAACAGTAAATGTCTTTCTCAGGGCCGATGAGATTGAGATGGTGATGACAGACCTGGAAAGAGCCAATCAGGTAAACTTCATAGCTGAACATTTTTACACAGCATTGTTCAAATTCTCCATCACACTATCCTTCAATATTTGTATTATTAAAATATAGAAAAATAAACTGAGAGGAATGTGTTTAAATTGATGAATGTACATTTTATATAGAGATTCTAGTGATATTCTATTTTTTTCTTACAGTCAACAAATTTCACAAAAAGACCGAAACCAAAATACTTTCAAATGTCTTTGAAAGGTCTTATTTTGCTGTTTGTTTTGAGACAAAGAGCTCCATTGTCGTCCAAATAAACGTTAAAAACACATTAGTAAGCCACAAAGTTGCACTGGGTGACATGTTCCTGCTTTAAAAGGTTAAACATGGGAACTGCAGTTTTGTTTATTTGTGTAGTCCCACGTACACCGTCATGCTATTGTATCTATCCATTAGAACAGCAAGCATGTTTTCACTTGGTTGTTAAAGTAGTCCTCGACGTAAGCACTATTTACTCCTGTTTGAGTTGCGTTTGTTTGAAACGACATTCTACTTTAAGTATTGATTGATGGACTACACACTGGTGGTTTGGATCTCATTTTAAATCAAATATGTTTCAGAAAACAATCAACATAGAATATCCACAGGCTTATCTGTTAAAATATAAATATCCGTCTCTTCAGAATCTATGAAATGTGGTTTCCATGAACAAATAGTGACTTCTTACTGTGAGGGCTGCTGTTTGTTTTACATGTTTAATACACACCTAGTAAACCCACCCTGCTGAAATAAGCCCCCTGGCGAGCTCTCTGCCCTTGTGTTGTAAACATTCCTGTGGTATCTGTTAATGTCATTGTTGTTAACTTTCATTATTAGCCCAAGAATATGATTTGTGGCTAAAGGGGTAGCATAGGCATGTAATGTTAATATTAGCCTAAAGGTTAGCGCTCCAACTATAATGCCACACACACACACTATTCACACTTCTGATTTGAGGTTTAAAGAGGATGACAGCATGGCCTCCAGCTCAGTCACAGACTTTTTATACGCTTTTATAAAGAGAAAATGGAAAACAGGATTTCTCTCTTACAACAAACAGTCCAATTCCCACCCAGTCAATAACCGCTCTCAATATGGTTGCAATTAGGAACAGTGTGGAATCGGCTCCCTGTGACTCTTAATGATGGCAAGTTGGCCGGTGTTGCAGATGATTTCCAACTGGAGCTTGGCGGTTTGGCCATAAACACAAAGCAGCGGGTATCTCTATCCCAGGACTCATTTAATATTTTCAATTAAGGAAAAATCCCCCCTCCTCCATCATCACACACTTACTTTGCGTTCTCTCTGCCCCCCCTCCACTTTGCAGTGTCTGTTTGTTTTTGCTGGGATGGGGTGGACTTGCTTTCCATAAAGACACACACAGTAGGCCGTTAGAAGGTGGTGGTCTATTTGAAACGTTTACTCCTTCAATCTGATTCACTATTTGGTATGCCAAACCCTTGTGCAGTGTGGTCCATTCATCTGTTTACTTTGCCGAGCCTGAAAACAAATGTTGAGCTAATTATTAGTAACGTTTCATCACCAACATCATCTTCCAAAGTACATTAAGTTGCTACACATGATGCTCTCTCCCTGTAAATGTTTTAGATTTAGTTTTCAATTGGTCTTGCTCATGTGTGTATGCCAAAAAAGAACATTAGCTGTTAATTGACCATTAGATCGATCATTTATGACAATGTTTGAACCTCTTGTGGATTTTTCCTAAACTTCTCCTCCTCTCCTCCCAGCGAGCAGAGGCAGCTCAGCGCGACATGGACTCGCTCAGAGAGCAGGTGTCCTTGAGCAGCCAATCCCAGCTGGGCAGCCCGGCCAAGGCCGACCCCGACACGGTAACACATCACACTCTGATTTACTGCATGGCTGACAAATAGGTATTGATGGTCTAAAGATCAGCTGGGCCTTTTTTATGCGAGAGGCGATCAACTTATCTTAAAGGTCACACATCGGTGTCATCAATGGTGTATTGATTTGCAAAGGAAAGGTTGCCAGGGTGGCTATAAGTGATTGGTGTATTGATTTACTCATTTATTGGGTCAATTCAACGACTGCTGAGGTGAAGTTTAGTTAGTGATAGACGGCCACACCAAAGTATTTGCTTCATTGATCCTCAATTTTGGGTGGTCGTTATTAATTAACGCATCACAAATATGCATTGATCTAAAGGCAGTTATGCAAATTAGTCGCTTTTCGGCGCCTCCCGCTTTTTTAACGCTGCTTTGGGTGACTTGTGTAATTCGTGGAGAACCGAAGAGTTTTCGTTTTGGGGGCGGGGGGGGTCCGTCAGTCCGTCCTTTAGTCCGTCCGACTGACGGACAACTTCTCACTTCTAGATCGCAAAATAATTAAACAAGCGAGTGCCTGTTTTTCCTGGCCAAGGACAGGTTCCTTGAACACAACACGAGCGTAACGTGTCTTCACGTGGTTATGTCTCGTCTGAAAGGAGTTTAGACTAGACACTAGAGTGCTTACGGAGAGCACCGGAACGCCGCTCCAGCTCTTCAAATATTGCAGTACCCATAAGGAGCCGTACACATGCCGCAGTGTTTGCGTGGCTGTGTCTTTAGTTGTAAGCACAGTGGCAAACTGTTGTTATTAGCATCTGGTTAGCTAGCTATGCTAACGAATTTAAAGAGCTTTTCTACAACCAGGTGGAAGAGAGCTCTCTCCTGAGAGGCTCAAATAACCTCAGCTCAGTGAGGTTAAGGCACACCTTGATATGATCATTATAATTATTAATGAGACATTAGAGACTAAATGAAAAACAGGTATAAAATACTATATGACAGTAACAAAAAAGTTGTTAAAAATAACAAGAATAGAGTTTAAAAGGGGAGTGATTTGTAAAATATCCCACAAGAAAAATCTGCTTACAGTTCTCAGATGGTATATTACGCTGTTTTTTTCTTGCTTCGAATAGTTCTCTCTTTTTTCACCATACCTGTGTTTGCATCACTGATTGAACACAACACAAGCGTAACGTGTCTTCACGTGGTATATGTCTCGTCTGAAAGGAGTGCTGACTGAGAGCACCGGAACGCCGCTCCAGCTCTTCAAATATTGCAGTACCCATAAGGAGCCGTACACATGCCGCAGTGTTTGCGTGGCTGTGTCTTTAGTTGTAAGCACAGTGGCGAACTGTTGTTATTAGCATCTGGTTAGCTAGCTATGCTAACGAATTTAAAGAGCTTTTCTACAACCAGGTGGAAGAGAGCTCTCTCCTGAGAGGCTCAAATAACCTCAGCTCAGTGAGGTTAAGGCACACCTAGATATGATCATTATAGTTATTAATGAGACATTAGAGACTAAAATGAAAAACAGGTATAAAATACTATATGTACAGTACAAAAAAGTTGTTAAAGGGGAGTGATTTGTAAAATATCCCAAAAGAAAAATCTGCTTACAGTTCTGTTTCAAATGGGTGTTGAAAGATGTACCCATAGATCTCCTCATGTTGCTCTCAAAGTGCACCAGATTGATGCTTTTAACATGTTTTAACTTCAATATTTTAAAAAAAATCTTCCCGGGGGAGCATGCCCCCAGACCCTCCTAGAGGAGGTTAGGTCCGCCCCACTTAAATCATGTTAACATGGATACTAAATACATTTGCACACATCTTGTGTCCATATCTTTCTGTGTTGGTGGTCATGCCACATCGTGCACATGCATGCATGCGCGAGTCATGGTAAGATATCTGGATTAAGAGGTTGCTTTTTCTTTGCACAGCATGAAAGAAAGGCCAAATGAATTGGCTGTGATTTTAGTTTTTTTAAGCAGAGGTTGAGTTCAATAATTTGTACGGCCCTCTGAGGATTTTGTAAAAATTGAAAGGAAAAAGGTTCCCCACCCCTGCTGTAAATAATAATAAAACCCCTTGATTTATAAAATCTCTGTCTCCTATTGATCTGAGTATATTATAAAGAATAGCCAGTTAATGGAAGCATTATAGCACAGGCCTTTGTCAGATGGTATATTACGCTGTTTTTTTCCTGCTTCGAATAGTTCTCTCTTTTTTCACCATACCTGTGTTTGCATCACTGTAAAGGAAAGACCTTTTGAAACAATAATCAGTACATTGACCCGCTTCTCTCTGATTTCTGTAATGATTGATTGAAAGTATCTGAAAGCAGGACTTCATCTGGCTGTGGTATTAGTTTTATTTTGCTCATTTGATTAAATTGCTTTCTATTTGGCTTTATGGAACAGCAGACGGAGGGGGCATCCAACTCAAGTCAGGAGGCGGAGCTACGGGCCAAAGAAAGGGAGACAGCCCAGCTGGTGGAGGACGTCCAGAGACTGCAGGCCAGCCTGACCAAACTCCGAGAGACCACCAGCTCTCAGATTGCACAGCTGGAGGAGCAGCTCAGCAGCAAGACTGCCACTCTCAAGGTACAACCAGGAAACACCGCTGCAATTTTTAGTTTGTCGTTAGATGGATTAATTATAAATTATTAATTTTCTCAAAATACTTTTTCTGTACTACTGTATTTGTGGCTTTATCTAGCTTCGTGGTGTATTCTGACCACACACACTTTGTTTAGCTCTGTTCTGTTATCTAGAGTATAGATTCTGAAAAGAGTACATGACATATGAAGTTCCAAGCATTACTTATTTTATGAACTATTTAATTCATTTCCATGTCATTCATCTACAGGAATTGGAGGAGAAAGTGCTTAAGCAAGCTGACTATGAGGAGGTGAAGAAGGAGTTGAGGTGAGGAGAACACACACAGAGGAGTACACACAGACATATATATTGCATTAGTTTGATGTCTTAACAATGTTAAACATGATGTGTGTCTGCCCCTCCATTCTTTCTTATCCTCGAAGAGATACAAATAGAAAAGCTAGCACTGGAGATGTGTTTCTTTAGTAGGAGGTTGATGTGTATTTTCTCTCTCCTCAGCATCCTCAAGTCCATGGAGTTTGGGACATCTGACTCTATGCAGGTAAAGGTTACAGTTACAATATACCTTCACATAATTCTGTAGCAATAGTTATTTAAATAATGATGAAACAAATCATACAATTTCACTTTGAACCAGGACTCCTCCAAACCTCTGGAGGTGCTGTTGCTGGAGAGGAACCGCAGTCTTCAATCTGAGAGCGCCGCTCTGCGCATCGCCAACACTGAGCTCAGCGGTAAGTCTGCCAACACGGTTATAGTAAGGGCCGGTACATCAACACTGCCCAGTCTGTCTTCCCAAAAACCTTCACGTGGACCAGCACAAAATGCCAGCAGAATGGGAGTCCAGTGTTTATTGGAGCTTAGATGAGGGTTCAGCTGCAGGTAAGGCTGTGCAGGTACAGCTATAACAAGAGATAGCAGTTTAATGTATACATACTTAATGTATGCCTATAGATTCTGTTTCTCTGAGAATACTTAACCATTTAATAATGTTTTGGGAAATGATTTGCAACATTTGGTCCACAGTAAAGTGTGTAATCCTGGTACAGAAATGTCATTGCTTTAGTCCCTCACATCATGGAGAGGAAGAACGTTTCTGGTATCTTTGAATACCGCAGCAGGAGGTCAGCCTGAACCATAACAAAGTTGCAGTACACAAAATCGAGGACACCGAACGTTCGCCCCTACATCAAGAATCTTGCCCTCTGCAACAGTGTTTATACGTTTGAAATGTCATAGCTTTAGGCTTGAATAGTTGAATAGCTTTGAATTGATTAACATTCACAGGGAGGGTTGCTTACTGTCTTACTCAATCATGTCTCAATGGTTATGCATTAGAATATTATTTCTCCCAGCGCTTCCATCAAGATGGGTTCTAGTAGTTAAAAGGCTGAGTAAATTCAGTTTATCTTTCTTTTTGTTTTGGTGAATGTATGAATGTAATCAGTCTACCCATTGAGGAAAGAGGTGAAGTAAGGCCTAAGAGTCAGCAGAGCTGTGTAGTCACTGTTTTTTAGTGACATGCATTTTCTGTTCAGCCATAAACACTGTTTTTCAATTCAGTTGTATTGCTCTGTTTTCACCTGGATGTATTTTTAATGAAAGACTCTGATACTGCATCTACAAGCGGCAACATCGTGGATGAGGACTTGCATGCTGTATTGGCTATCTGTGGATCATTGTACCCTGTCCACTTACTTCCACTTTGCCTGCGCGAGAGTGAGAGAGGGAGCCTGAGCCCTGGGCCAAGCTAATCTGCCTCAGTGGCACAGTGTCAAATGTTTTTGTTTGTCCTTTTTTTTCTTCCAGGCTGTGTCTTACAAGAAAGGTTGAAATCACAAATGCATGGGCACTTTGTCTGGGGGGCTTGGCAAAAAAGGAAAACAAAGTTCACTAATTTGGAAAAGACTTGATTAAGATAACTTTTGTTATTTTTTTTCTCTCTCTTTTGGAACCCCTTTTTTGTTGACCCCCCCATAATGCATGGTGTGTTTGACCTTTCTTGTAGGGTCAGCCGGGCGGAAAGGGACAGAAGAGTCCACAACGAAGGAGGAGACCATGCCCAGCGATCCCTCTTCCTCGCCCCCTTCTCCCCCTCCCTCTCTTCCTTCCTCCTCCCAGTTCCCCCTGTCTCGTACTAAGACGGACACCCTAAACACTGCCACCAACACCAGCAGCGGCGAAGCGCACCCTTTCAGTCCTACGGGCATTGGACAGGATTTCTACTCCCCTGTGTTCCCTCTGGTGGGTGGTAAGATGGCTTTGAACTCCCTGATCCAGCGGCAGCTGCTTCAGACCTTCTACTCCAAAGCCTTGCAGGAGTCGTCTGGGATCCCCAGTGGCGCTCTGCTGTTCACGCCCTTCACTCCAACCCTCAGCTCCATCCCTACCTCCACCCCAGGCTCTGGGTCAGCTGCCATCCCTCTGGCGGCCAGCAGCCCCCAGCCACCTCCAGCCAGCCCAGACATGGCTCCTTTGAATGGGAGCAGCACCGCTGGCAGTGCCCCGTCCCCGTCACCCAGCCACTCTGAGGCCACCACGGGAAGTATTTTGGACGGGGAGGACATGGACACGGCTGAGATTGCCCGACAGGTGAAAGAGCAGCTGATCAAGCACAACATTGGCCAGCGAGTGTTTGGCCACTATGTGCTGGGACTGTCCCAAGGATCGGTGAGCGAGATCCTGGCCAGACCGAAGCCGTGGAACAAGCTAACCATCCGGGGGAAGGAGCCTTTCCACAAGATGAGGCAGTTCCTCGCCGATGAGCAAAACATCCTCGCACTGCGCAGCATCCAGGGACGGCAGAGAGGTGAGTCAGTGTATCTTTAATGTGTGTGTGCGCGTGTGTGAGAGTGTGTGTGCGTGTATGTCTTGCATGTGTACAGCCCTGCACAGAGCCATTGATTAGCTTGTCAATATGGACTAGCTTTATATTTTGCTTTCTCTTTCCTAACTCCCATCCTGTGCCACACCTGTGTGTTTTCAGTGAGTTCCTAGTCGCACACCGATCCCAAGAGCCTCTCCTAGCTATCGTGGTCAATAAAGAAACCTTTCACACATCAATAGTATTGATCGTGGGAACCAGGAGGAAGGCAAGGGTACTGTTAACTACGGGTAGATTCGATTAGCCTGGGCCTGCTTTTGTTAACGCATCAGGACATTTGTGATTGAAGGTGGTCTCAGTGCTACACACAAATATAACCACCCTAGTACTATAAAAAAAAGAATGTGTTAAAAACAAGGCTGCAGTTAGTATGTCCCTGTTTAACACTTCCCTTTTAAATTATTTGATCTCTCACTATTTTGCACTACTTTATAATTCCCGATAGAGGTTGAGTTCTACTAGGGGCCACAGATGCTAAAGATCAATGCATTTATGGTACTATAATGTGCACTGGATGGAAGTCCCAACAAAATTCCATATATTTGCACAGGATTATAGGGCACCATATAGTCTAGCGGTAAAAGACGATAAAAACACACCAGAGCTGTAACATAGTGTGTGGTATATTGTTTTTAACAGAGGGCTCAGGCCAGCCCCAGCTTAGCCGAATGTTTCAGGATGTTCCGAAGCGGAGAGCCCTCTCCAATACAGCTTCACACACAGGTCTGTCCCCTTCACAAACAGATTTGAGCACGTTCTGTCTGTGTGGCATGTTCGTGTTGGGGTGAACCGTGTCTATGATGTGTGCGTGTGTGTATGTGAGTTGGCGTTTATTAACTTGTGGGAGGCATGCATATATATATATGTGTGTGCCTTGAAGGTAACCGCACAGTTCCAGTGACTTGCGTCAAAGCAGAAGCCAGCATGTGTATTTAGGGATTTTATTGGTAGTTGTTATTCTGTGGGGAGCATTTACTACACAAACCCTGTAGCACGTCTGCATGTGTGCGCTCCAAAGGGACCAGAGAAAAGATGAGAAGCCCTTCAGTGTAGTTGCCTTGTCGCTCAGTGGTGGGAATGTTGTTCGTTGTGCTATGGTGTCATTATTCAATGTTCTTATATAGACTGTTATTGATCTCTTCACCTGCTCTGTGCTTGGTAATCTGCTTCCAAATCCGACATGAATTTTCACCTCCTCCCATTCCCTCTTCTCTTCCTTCCAGGTAACATTACCGCCCGGGTCCGCACCCCAGAGGCTGGTTCAGATGAGGCTATCAAGTCCATTCTGGAGCAGGCCAAAAGAGAGCTGCAGGTGCAGAAAGCTGGTGAGTTGCAGTTTTCTTCTCCTCTCCAGGGGATTTGAGGCATTGAAGATGATGCATTGTGGCTGTGAGTGTTTCTTATGATGCCCTTTTTTTCTCCTCCCTCCACAGACTTGTCCCATAGTCAGCCTTCATATACAGGACTGAAAGGTGGGGGCGGCATGGGCGGCATGGGCGGCATGGGCGGGCTGGGAGGCCTGGGAGGCCTGGGAGGAGGAGGGGGCCACGGGTCAGATGAGGCTATCCGCTCCATCCTAGAGCAAGCGCGCAGAGAGATGGAGGCCCAACAAACTGCAATGGAGCCCCTCCTCAAAGCGTCATCTTCGTCTTCCTCCTCACTACTATCACAGAGGGACTTCCTAAACTCCTCGCTGACCGCTCCCCTTCCCCCTTACAACCCCCTGGCACTCTCCCTCAAGAAGCCCAGCAGCTCCTTCTTGTCCTCCCCCTCATCCCCGTCTCCCATCCTGGACTTCAGCTCCAGCGTGAAGAGAGAGGGCAGGGGTTCTTCAGGGATGGACCTGTCTGTTGAGGGAGCTCTCAGGCTGGGTCGGAGCTCTGAGGGGTCCGGCCGCTCTGGAAGTTCTGGAGGAGTGGGTTACTGGAGAGAGCAGTGGTGGAGCAACATGCACACGGACCCCCGCAGGGCCTCAGTCAGCCAGACAGGAGAGGACAACCACATGCAGGAGGACTCCAAAGAGGTGAGGCGGGGCGCAGCCAAAGGATTGTGTTTGTGCCCTTCTCTGCTTTTACTCTTCAGTGGTTGCATGTCTGAGCCATTCTCTGTCTGCGTGTTTCAGGGAATATTGAGTGACAGTCTGTCTCGACACAAGCCGTGGAACAAGTTGAACCAGAGGAGCAGAGAGCCATACCTCCGCATGCAGCCGTGGCTCAACGGAGACCAGGGGCAAAACGCACACATCCAGCCAGCTCAGCACCAAGGTAAACAAATCACACACACACACACACACACACACACACACACACACACACACACACACACACACACACACACACACACACACACACACACACACACACACACACACACACACACACACACACACACACACACAACACCAACACACACACACACACACACACACACACACACACACACACACACACACACACACACCAGCTCATAGACTACATTGATTCACACAACCAGGCTCTTTGGGCTCGAGCATTTCTCTGAAAGCCTGATTAGAGCTAGTGGCTAGTTGTTACTGTCATTCTGTCACTCACACAATCCACCCCCCTTCACCCTCCCTCCTCCTCCCACCATCCCCCCATCCTCAGTGCTGTGGCAGTGTCAGCCAGCAAGCTGCTGGTTTGTCATGTCATAGACAAGTTAGTGTTGCAGCGCCAGATGGCAGCTCTGTGTGTGTGTGTGTGTCAGTGCGCGCATTTGCGTGTCTCTCTTTCTCTCTGGGGGTGTAAACAGCAGCTAATGTACACTGACAGCTCCTCATGACTGCTCTCTTCCAGCCTGCTGAGCTGCACAGCAGTACTACACAGACAGAGACAGAGAGATGAAGGAATAGGAGGAAGAAGCCAAAAAAGCTTCAAACTTCAAACTTAAGCACCTTTAATGTTTGCTTAACAAGAATTAAATTAGTTGATTTAGTATAAAGGAAGTTCCTCCCAAACCCAGCAGGGAGAGCAGATGAACCTGTGCTACATGGTGACATGTCTTCTAACCTGTGCCACGTTCTCACCCTGTCTGTTCTCCTCAAGCAGAGGGTACTCCCAAGACATCTGCCAGCTGCAGCCCTGCTCCTGAGTCCCCCCTCAGTTCAGCTGAGGAGTCTGTCAACGGTCTTGGAGGGGATCCACTCGCTTCACAGTCCTCCAGTCTCAAACCTGCGTCTGAGGATCCCTCAGGTGGGGAGTCCCAGCCTGGCACCCCACTGCCTGTCCCCGGTCATTCGGGTCTCAGTATCCAGGAAATGGTTGCCATGTCTGTCGAGCTTGATACTTATGCCATCACCAAAAAGGTTAAGGAGGTGCTGACTGATAATAACCTTGGTAAGAAACACAGGTGGTGCTGTCTGTGCAGTTTAGTTGCTTATTCTTTTGCCCTTCCCCTGCATCATGATGAATTATTCAGCCTTAGAATCAGTTCTCTGAAATGACCATTCCATTTTACTCTCTCTCGCCCTAACCAGGCCAGCGTCTGTTTGGGGAGACTATCCTGGGTCTGACTCAGGGTTCTGTCTCAGACCTGCTGGCCAGGCCCAAACCCTGGCACAAGCTCAGCCTGAAAGGCCGAGAGCCATTCGTCCGTATGCAGCTCTGGATCCAGGACCCACACAGTGTGGAGAAACTCATGGACATGAAGCGCCTGGAGAAGAAAGGTGTGTGTGCTAAAAGCTCAATCATGAGAAGTATAGAGCAGCATGTCTCCCCAAATAATGAACAAAAGACCCTGACAGAACAACGTTCATGTTATCTGCTTAAGCAGGCATTTCTTTTATAAACAGTCACAAAAAGACAGCAGCCTTTGAATTACACATGCACATCTGCACACACAATATCCTTTGTGCAGGACAGCAGAGCATGTTGTGCAGATCACAGTCATCTTGGTGTGATGTCAGTAACAATCAGGACTGTAGACATCACATACTGTATTAGATGTGACAGCTCGGGGACTGCCGGGGGCCTGCTTACTCACAGTCATCAGCACTCCTCTTCATCATCCTCATCATCATAATAATCATCAGTGTCTATAAGTTTGTATTTTTATCATTTGTTCCTGCATCGCCCACTCTATCACTGCATCATTATTTATTCCCCTCTGTTTGCGTGATGCGTTTAAGAATCAGCAAAGCCAAAGGGCCTCACCCCGCTCGCTGCCTCACAGTGACCCCCGATGCTCACTTGAAGCTCTCTCTGTAGAAAAGAGATACGCCTATTTGAACCAGCCAGCAGGCACCAGCATCAGGGGTCAGTTTAGCCTCCTGATATCGCAGATAAGGCACAAGGGCAAAAAACAAAACTGACCTTACAACAGTGAGTTTGGATTGTGGATGGGTGGGGTTACTCTCCATTCAACTTTGTTTCAGATTACTGACCCCAAAGTAATGTATCTGAATAGCAACAGGGAATAGTCCTGGCTGACAGCACAGCCCAGAGGAAAGACATGGACCTAGTCCAGAGTAACCGCATTTGACCTCTCACCCTTGTGGCACAAGCCTGCGAGGCAGCACACAACTTTCAGAGTGGTCTAACCTTGCTCTGAGGGGTCTTTCTCTGCAACACTAATATATCCGGCAGCATATATTGGGGTTGAAAAAATGTCAACCTCATGCAAAACTGCCATGAGCTGTTGGGTTTTAGCTGCTGGTGCTCCGTGTGAATGGCTCTGCTTGTTCTCTTTAAAATGGACGAGATGCTTTCATTGTTAGTTCCGGAGAAAGACAATAGCACCACCTAGTGGCTGTCATAGAAGATAGAAGAAGAGTGAGAAACCGGGCTGGATAAAGAAAAACGATTTAATGTTTTTGCTTGGAATATTGCTGTAACAGTTATTGATCATACACATGTTAACTAAAAAATAATCTCTTGTCCATTCAGCTGATCCATAGTAGTTTTTCTTCACATAAAGATTGCTTGTCATTTGTCATTCTAATTCTAAACAGCTAGAACTTGGCGATTTAGGCGAGAGCCTCAATCTGCTGCAGATATAATGTAATATTGTCATTCTTCTTGATTATTTATCAAATCATGTATTTTCTGATGCACTGATTTCCACTTGTTGTTTTTTATTTGCTGTTTAGCTTACATGAAGAGGCGGCTAAGCTCCCTGAGTGATAGCCATCCTGTGGACGTGGGTTTAGTGGGGCAAGATTACATGCAGGGCTCCCAGAGCCCGGTTCATCAGCATCTGAAGAAAGCCAGGGTGGTGCTGGGCCCCGAGGAGAAGGAGGCCCTAAAAAGGGCCTACCAGCAGAAGCCCTATCCCTCCCCAAAAACCATTGAGGAGCTGGCCTCCCAGCTCAACCTGAAGACCAGTACTGTCATCAACTGGTTCCATAACTACAGGTGACCTATTGCATATCCTTACATAAACCTATGTGTGTTTGTGAATGATGGATCCATATTGTATCGTTAAATAAATGGACATTGTCTAAGGAAGGGCTTTTGTGCCTGCCCTGTTTTAATAAACATCACATCAGTGCACTCATGCAGTATTTAAAGATTAGTTAAATGTAAAATGTGTTGCACCTGACAGATTTAATTTCAGGATTTGGGTAGTGTGACTGACTTCTGTGTCTCTCTTTAGGTCACGCATCCGGCGAGAGCTCTTCATAGAGGAGATCCAGGCCGCTGGAGGGTTAGTAGGGCATGGAAGTGAGGGGGGCTCCCCGTCCCTCCGAGGGTCCAAATCAGGAGAGGGGGACAGCTGTGATGGGACAGAATCTGAAGGCACAGTGGAGACACGCCAGGGACTGGGTATGGGCCTGGAAGATCACAGAGGAGCATGCAAAGACGACATGGAGGTGGAGTCTGAGGCAGGGGGATCTAATAACTCCCCTGACCAGCTAGACTGCACCGGGCCAGGCTCCAGCTGTGGTCTGGGGCTCTTCAGCCTCACAGAGGCATCCTCCAGTTGCTCTGCCTCTAGTACTAACATCCCAGCCTCTGGCCCTGCCAGAAACCCCAGGGACAACAATCTGCGCAAGAAGAAAGCTGCCAATCTCAATAACATCATCCACAGGCTGGAGAAGGCTGCTAGCAAAGAGGATCCCTCAGAGTGGGAGTTCTAGCTCCTCCTGGGCATCCTGCACCCCTCTTGTCTCATAACCTCACGACCTCTAACCTTGGACCCCTCCTGCTCTGTTCCAGTTGGAGAGTGGACACAGCCAAAGTCAAGCTCAGCAGCCATTTTTATTACAGAAAAGCTTTCCGAAAAGAGGAAAGAAACAAAGAGTGGTTGGCAAAACCCTTAAAAAGAAGATTTACTGAATACCTAGAAGAACAAAATAAGAGGACCTATGCGTCTCTCCGTTTTTTTTTTAAACTGAGTTTTGTTTTTGTACTGAGAAAAGCACTTAGCCGTCCTGCTGGCCTCCGGCCCTGCTGTACCTTCCCCTATTACCAGCCACTGGTGCACCAGACTGGTTCCTCCTGAGCGTGGGTCTGACCCACAGCTGAGGATGAAACCTGGACTCAGAAACACAGGCAAGGCCTGACACAGCAGCTGTCTCAGTGATAGACACTGTTAGATGATAGATAGAGACAGGAACTCTCTTACAAGAACTCTCACTTTCTTAAATGAGATTTTTTCCGCTCTTCTTCTCACCTCCCAAGTGTCCACAAACCTCCCCTCACTCAGTGAGACGCCTCATTTTTCACACTGTAGAGTGACTGTTACAAACCCTTTGCCTTTTTCACTCACTGCGTGTGTGTGTGTGTGTGTGTGCGTTTTTGTATGTTAGGGGTTGCGTCAGTGTGCACCTGTTTGTTTGTGTGTGTGTAAACACACCTAAAAATGGTGTGTGTGTTCTCTTCTCAATGGCAGCATGTTTTCTTTTTCATCTCACTCCTACACTCTTAAGAGGGTAGTGGAAGGCCTGCCGGCTGAGCTGCCATGGTTACTGATGTAAGAGAGATGAACTTTGACCTGTTGTGTCCCATATCCTATCCTGCTGACAGCCATGTGATGGCCAGAAGGATCTCTAATTCCTCACAAACACACGCACTCATCTGAAGAGGAAGGATGGAAAGAACCCTCTTTTGCCTCCTTACCCGTCTTTAAAGGATGAAGGATGATCTCTTTTTTTTGATATTGCAATTTGGTTGCCAATAAGAGATTGCACAGTCTATTGACTCTAAAGAGTACAAGATAGGGAATTTTAGGAAGCATTTTAATTAGTACAAAATAAGAACAGAAAATAAGAGAATAACAAGTTACCGTCTTTAAAAAAACAAAAACTGATAAGAATGGAATAATGTTGCGTTTTTAAAATACGATACAAGAATTCACGTAGTACTGTAGCTTTCTGACACATTGATACTTCACGTGTCTCTTGTTGTTTGAAGTCATGCACGTCACAGCTTTTGCCCAGCACTGGACCTGCTGGGTGTGTGTGTGTGTGTGTGTCTGCACCACCAACACATTTTCTCTGTTCACAAACACATCTTTTTATAGGCCAAATCAGGAAGAGTGTGTGTGTGTATGTTTGTCTGTGTGTCTGTGTGCATTTGTATTTGCTTGCATGTAAGTCAGGGTCGAGGTCAATTCACTCAGAAGTAAGAAATTAAGAAGAAGTTTATCAATAATGACATTTTTGACTGAAATAATGGGTTTTATGTAGAATACTTGATTAATCTGTACTTTCTGGTGTCTGCCGTCAAAGTGAATTCACCCCCACCCTGGTGTGAGTAGTTTCCACTCTCCTCCAGTCTATCCTGTATCCAGGGATGTTTTGCATTGAATTCTACTGTATACACTACAAATTATAAGGCATATCACCTCCTCCCTGTCCCACACAAGCCCTCAGTGCCTGTCAGCCTACTGCCTCCCCTTGTGTGTGTGTGTGTGTGTGTGTGTGCGTGTGTATGCGTGGGTGCATGTACACACATGCCTGTCAATACATGCGTGTGCACAAATGTGTGCGATTGAGGATTGTTCAGTGTTTCCAATGAGTGGGGTCATATTTCTTATCTACTTGCACACACTACTAGTGCACAACTGACACCCTTCTTTAAGCTGTTTGATGCGTTACCATTACATTAATCTTCTCACAAAGTAGTGTAATACTATGATTTACTGTAGCTTGGTTTTATTGCTATTTTGCATTTATAGTTTGGTTTTTATTCTGCTTATTTATAGGTGCTGTATTTTTTTCATTTAATGTCTTATCATTTGAGTTGTCTATTTTTTAAGGGATTATACTGTTCCTGAGGGCAAGTAACATTTTTATTAGACGTATAGACTGCCGGCAGTATTGGTTAATATTTACAAAGATGTACTAGTTCTCGTTTGTTTGTATGTTCATGAATCCTAAAGTTTAGTGTCATTTCAATAGCTTTGAAAAAAATGTGTTTGCTACAGTCCATGCTCCCGTAAGCATTAAGCTTTTACCACAACAGTTATGCTCTTACATTGCTAGCTAGAGAATCAAAGGACATATCAAGATCGGTGAATATATGTTAGCATATCTCTTTTCCTGTTTTCTATCCTTCTACAATGTTCATTTTTGTTCGGCTGTTTCTTGGGCAAGCCCGGCACCAACGTCCGGCAGGGCATGCAGCTTTCTTTAGATAGAGGTCGCCCACTCTGTAATCACGTTACCATAACATAATTATGCAGGTCCCATTGTTTAGACTTTGTCAAATAGGTCAAATGAAATTACCTAAACTTGAAAACAGAAGTAACTTGAAAGAGGTCATATCTGCCAAATTGAGATTAGAGAAGTATACCAGCTAGCAGGGGTGCTACGTCAGATTGAACAGATAGCCAGCCTATGATTATGCAGAATATATATTGCAGTCTGTAACAAAGCACTTATTAGGATCTTTCTGAAGACTTACTTGGGACAGGGTCTGTAAACACTACGACAGAGTACGAGCCCGGGATCCTGGGAAAATGTTTGCCTTTTTCAAAAAGTGGTTGTGAACCAAGCACAGACTCTTCTCCGCATCCGAACACTAAAATTAAAACATAAGATTGCTGTATCCATGTTTTCTAAATGATAAGCTGCAGTCTATTACAGTAACCCCTATTTCAAACTCCAGATAACTGCGTGACAGAAAGGGCCTTTGTCCTGTACAGTTGTAGATATTATGAGTAAACTCCTGTTATGGTTTCTATCCTAAATGTCCTCAGTCCATCCTTAAGCCTCCCCTTTCCCTGAATGTACACCCAGATGTATTGGCAGCCCATCAAAAGACACTGATAACCTCATTGCACTCTATTAGGATGCATTAGGTAAAATTGGATTTTCCAGTGTATCTAATAATTGTAAATTCCGCAAACATTGGCGCTTCCTGTGGACGACTGATGTGAAACATCTGTCTTCTGCAGAATACTGAAGGCTCCTTGCCTTCTGTTGGACTGCTCGGATTGGACAACCACAGTATGTTTAATTGTGATGAATAGCTACTGTAAAGTTTATAAGCACTTACCCCATTTGCCATTTTATAGCCAGATCCATCAACTCACCCAATCCATGTGAGATCATCAGATTTGTGCCTTTAACTGCCAAGCAGGGCACCAAACTAGTGATGTCATTAGACGTAGATGATTTCACCTGATTTGTTCATAATATATCCCACATCTTGACCCAAATTAATTTCCCATGCACTTCATAAATATTGGTACTTTTGAAGTTGACTTGTCTCAGCTCTCTGGAGAGGGTTGTATATAATTCCTGGAGTGTAGTGAAAGAGTAAAAGGAGAACAGCGAGCTTGTGTATTCTTATGACTGACTTGCAGACATGTTTCCGTCCGGGTCTTATTTCAGACAGTTGTTTTCCCACAATGCATTTCTTACGTTGTACATAACCTGATCTAGCAGCGAAAGGCCAGAGCATTGAATGAAGGAGGAAGCATGCAGAAAACAGCATACACTGTAATAACACTGAATTTATTCATAGGGCATTTTGTATTTTTCTGTTTGTGTCAGGTTTGCTGTGACATTAATAGTGGCACTACAGGTATTGATTATGACGTGTGCCAATTCAAATGGTTATTTGGAAAAGAGACGTGTAAATACAGTCGATCAAGTAGCTATTGATTCACTTTTGTCACAGTATGCTTTTGTTTGAAGGCAGGAGGAGAGAAGGGACGATTCAGGACTTTTCCATGATCCACAGATATTTTTCTACAAATTTAAATCAGATGATTCTATACACTGTTGAATAACATTGTAAAGGTGTAACAGATGCTGTATATCATATCATGTTTTCTGAAGTCGTAAAGCTTTACTGTATGATCTGTTGAAGTAGTGGTTATTCATTTTGACATATTAGTTGTAATGGAAGCCCAAACAGCAGCACTGGTCACCATATTCAGGAAAAAAAAAGAAAGAAAGAAAAACCTCAGATGTTTTTTGTAATACTTTTAGAATATATCTTATGAAGTGGGTTTTGTAAGGAAAAACTTTCGGAATCAGTGGTGCTGTATGCATAGCACACTCAGTAATACATACACACATAATACAGCACAATACACTCATCCTTTTAAACCCCCCCCCCCCCCTCACCTTTACCTTGCGTGCTTTTTTTATGTTATTTCGCTCACCTCTCACATTGGCTAATTTTTAAGTCTTAAACCATTTCCTCCTATATCATCAGTTATTTCATGCTTAACTGTACAGTTTTTATCACCCAGAGACCGACTCCGGAGTGCTAAACATTTCAGCGACTGCTTGCAAGACTTAAAAGAGGAAGCATAAAGCCAAATAGTGAAGTTAGTTATCCACCACTGTTGAAAGGTTGCTGACAGTTTTCTGAATGTTGCTACCTTGTGTCGTGGCTTCAGTTCACCCATAGCTAAACCACAGTGTAGTCTGACAACCAAACGACCTGGGGAGATCTTCTTCCCCCTCCTTTTGGAAAGCTTTAAGATGCTTGTTGAGGCTTTAGCAATTCAGAGTGTTTTTAGATGATTTCCCCAACCTTTGTCATCAACAATGTGGAAGTAATAATTCTCATAACTTCTCCCACTGCTTATTTTGTGAGTGTGTGTGTGTGTGCGCGTACATGTGTGTTGTAGTACAAAAGGCTGCATGACTGTAAAGGGATGGTTAAGATGTTTTTTGAAAGATGTTTCCCTAGCACCTCTGTCACTCCTGAGATGCTTTTTTCTCCTTGTTGGGGTCTCCTTCCCTTTTGTTTTTCCTCATGTATCATTGTTTCTTTATCTTTCTATTTACTAAACGTATCATGTTGTTTGTTCTCAGCACTGTAAAACAGTCCCTTCTACAACATTGAAAAGCAATATCACTGTATGAAACGTTCACAATGTATTTGTTATGATTGACATTTGATTCATCATCATCATTATTATTCACATGCACCCTAGGTGTGATAATTGAAGTAAATCTCTTTTATACAAATACTAAAAGTGTACTGTGGTAGTTTTTTTTTTCTTTGCGAAATGTCTTGTTGGAAATGTCTTTGTTGAACCTGTGCATGGTTAATAAGTATTCTCAGAGAAAGAGATCACTTAGAAAGTCAGGGAAGAAAGTAGGTGTAGCGGGTTTCAGTCATGTTGGGGATGTTGGACAGCTTCTGCCATTTACAGCCTCCACAGGTGAGTTACTTTGGGAACTAATACAATCTAAAACAAACGGGAATAAAACCATATTCAAATGATATGTATCTCTCCTCTACCCCCTCACAGGCCGGTATGCAGAGCTGCAGGTGGAGTTTTCGGCTGCGGTTCGCACCAGTGCGGAGCAGAAGGAGCTGATCCTGAAGCTGGAGCACGACCTGAGCACCATCCAGGACATGTCCACCCTGCAGCGGCCCGACGCCGACGGCTCCGAGGTCAGCAACATGGAGAACATCCCGGACCCCGTCAAAGAGGCCTCTGCAATGTTTAGTGGTATGTCCCCGGTTTAAAAAAAAGCTGTTTAAAGGACTGTACAAAAATGATTGGGTCCCAATTGATTTGAACCCTCCCTGTGGCTTAATACCACAATGTGATGGAGCAGTTTGCTATTGACACAGTTAAGTGTATACATCATTTTAATCGACATTCCACTTTATTTAAATGCAAACCTTTCATTTAAAACTTAAAGGTTCAGATAGAAAAGTCATCTTTCCCCAAGAAGCCAATATACTGTATCCATGAAGCAAATTCATAAGAAAGGTCATGTAAAATGACCTAAGCTAAAACATTTTTACTTGAGTTCTATTGTGTCTAAGGGAGTCTTTACATCAACTTTGTAGTAACTATTGACACGCTTGATCCGGAGAATTATTA